TAAATAGGTGCTGATTTGGTAGTAAAATGATTATTACAAATAATTAATAATTATTCAATTATGTACAAAACACCTTCCACCATTTCGTAACTAAAGTAATATCCGTCAAGGCGTCAACTGACGAGGAATGTTTAAACTTCATTAAAACAATGTAATTTTAACAGCAATTATATATTTAAAAATAATAACTTGAACATAAACTTTATCTCAATTTTTTTACAATTATAACAAAGCTTATTCGTGAACAACATTTGCAGTTTGCTTTCATTTACCAACAAATAAAGATTTTGAGGTGATCCCACTCTTAAACACTACATCTCATTGACCATGAAAAAAAGCATGGTTGCTTGAGAAACAATCCATCAACTTTTATACTTTGACCTTAAATCCCTTTAGAATATTCAACATTGTCTAAAGTGTCAACCTGCCAAGATTGTTTGGGATTGACTCAATAAGCTGGGAGTAAGTAACCAACAGGCTTTACAAAATAGAGATAGAGTTACGTTCAATTTTGATCCATTTAGGACATTCTCCATAGTTCATAGTGTTTACATACAAATTGTGGTTGAGATTGGTCCAATAGGCTCAGAGGAGTTAGGGTGCAAACAAACACACATTTTCATGATGTAATTTGTCGGATACAAGTATTAGAATTACACTGTCAAGTTGTATATTTTAAATCATATTTTTAAAATTTTGTTTGTGCTGCTTTGTTGACGAGCTTATGACAGTTTGTACAAGTTTCATCACGCTCGATACATCCTCCAACAGAGATCTATACAGAGATTAAAAGGTCATGTCAGATATTGATCAGCTACTAATATCTAATATGTCATAACATTTGAATCGAAACAGATGTCCAAGAGGTGCAGAATATGAGATAGCACCACGAAAAGGTTCATATAAGTGGACATCTCAGGAAAACACCTAGGTTTCAAGAAGCTGCATATTTTTGTTTTTATTTGATTTTCTAGACATTTGGAAAGCGACATGTATGAAGAAAAACTTACAAACTTCTAGGAGACATCCGCCTCCCGTTGTCACCGCAGGAGTCTTCAACTGAAAAACGCTTCTTTGTGGGCAAAGTGCACGTGGCGTGATTGTGCACGCCACACGCCAATGTTTGGCTCTTCCCCGTTGGTCGATGTGGCTTGCGAGAAAAAAGACCAATCACAGTTTTGTTAGCCTGTCAGTAGATTGGCTGACACTGGCACGCGCTGCACGTGCTATACGAGCTAGCTGTGGGCTGCTTGATTATCGTTCACTGATGCGACAGATAGAGGTTTCTGTTCAGTAAGCTAAGTAATATTTATAAACGCAACATTCCAGTTGCTTGTGAGGCCTAGCACGCGACTCTTTTTTTCCCTTCTTTAATACATGAGATCTTCGCATCCTTTCGTCTATCGAGCTCGCTTCTTGGTATCATCTCAGTATATGTAACCCTTAACTTCATCAGTGATTACAAACCGATTAAGTTTTGTGGTATTTTATTATATTTATGATTTGCTCCGACAGGGACGAGTTTAAGTAAGTTTTTTTCGTTAGGTTTCGCGAACTATTCAACGACCGTAAGAATGGATAGTGAGGATTACAACGAGGACAAGCCGAAGCATGAAAGTAGACGGGTAGGTGTCAGTAGGAAGAAACTACAAACAGTTTATATTCTAACTGTTTAAAAACGTATATATTTTGTGTTTCTGTAAATAAACGTATACAATTTGTACTACTAGATTTTCGTATAGGTATGTTGAAGTTAGTGCTTCATATTAAAATATCAAAGCAAGGTATTCTATCAAGTAGAAACTGTGCAGTAGAGGTAGATAAACCCCTCAGTATTTGTGTTGTTTTTTTAAGAACTCATTAACTAATAAATGTAAAAAAATATTATGCTTTGATTCTTTTGAGAATGAATGATATTCATATAAGACTTTTTGAATATGAAGAAGGGGGTTTGTACAAACTTGATTATAACTATAATATCTAAACCCCGAATCATTCCGTTTTGTTCTTGCATTTCTTATACTTTTCTAGTATACGTACAGAGAATACGCTTCAAAGTTAATGTTTATGAATTACTAACGAGTTACGCGAGATAGCTCGAGAGCCCCCAGTGACAGAGCGGTAAGTCAGCGGACTTATAACACTAAAAATACTGGGTTTCAATACCCGTGGTGGCACAGCACAGACAGTTCATTGTGTAGCTTTGCGCTTAACAACAACCAAGTAAACCAGAAACAATTTCTATTTACCCTTAGGAAATTCGAGTAAGCCGAAGTCCATAAATTACGTACACCTTACTTTAGAATCATGATTGCGTTCAACGAAATAATTACTTAGTTTGTGGTTGTTCAGTAAAACGTTCTATTTGATTTAAAACTACTGATTGTGTACGCAACCATATCTACTATTTTAATCGCTTTCATAGACCGTCAATTTTTTATCCTGTAGTCCATGAATCACGTGCCAATCATAAAATAATTAAATAATAAAATAGTAAGCGTTCTTATCTTTTATGCAGTTTTAATTTATAAATGGTGTAAATTTCTCATGCGTAAAGCTTGGCGCTAGAGTCTATGTTTGTGCTCATTAATCATCTTATTTTCCCTTCAGTTATGACACCAAAAACAAATCATTTAGAATGCAGAGTGAGAACCGGATTTTTCTGACCATGTTGTCTCATGTGTCGTTTGTCATTTTCTATTGTTTAGCGTCTCTGTATACTATAATAAAGTTTCACAAGTTTTCACTCTGTTCGTTAATATGTTAATACTTGAAAACCGTCAGTAATTGGCGGAACTCCGTAATTACAGAATTGAAGAAAACAAACAGAATTGTACGTTTCACAACTATCTAATTCATTACGACCGTGGTTGCTAATGATCCTTTACTGACGACATAATAAATGGAATAGTGTCTTAGAATGTTGCCCAATCTATAAACAACATTGGGTAAAACAATTACTTATGCGAACCCTTATTTTCATATTGTTAAAACTTCAAGCCATAAACACTATTATCTGGTATACATCTTCCTGTATATATAATTGTATCAGAGGACCATCATTTCCTAGTTCACAGTGAGGTGAAATCACAATGAAATTAAACATAATTTTAGGTTGTTAGGCCTGTCAGTACTTTTTTGGCTGAACTGAAGTATACTCCATTTTTTGTGGACTATAAAATAAATTTGTTTTGAGTATCTTAAGTTCGCCCAAGGCTGTGGAAAAGTTCTTCGAACAACACGTTTAGAAGATTACTTGTCACAATAATACTCTACTCATTAATAAGATATCTTACCTCTGCTGTAAGCGATCAGTTATTTGATTTTTCTATATATTATTAACGATCATTTAATTGTTTTTTTTAAGTATCTATGAAAATATTTGTTGTAAATCCTAATATAAAAAAATACTCAAACTCATGGTAAAAAGAAAACAAAAAAGAACTTACATCGTCACTGCTGGATTTATATACCTGTCGTTAAGAGGACACTTTTGTTTTCTAGTCGGCTATACCAGTAGTGACATTATATCACATACAGTATATATATATATATATATAATTATGAGGCAGTGCTTGAGCTGTAACTAATTAACACGGGGAACTCTATAAAATATATAGGTTAAGTGTACATTATACTGGTACTCTGTTTATGCTTGAATTTAACAATAACTTTGCATAAAACAAACGTCAAGAGCAAACTAAAAACAACTTCACCAATGGTTGATGGAGATGATATTTGGCAGAGAGAAGACCAGTACGACTGTAGCTGGATATTGAAGCTAAGTCAGTCAGTGAAGTCTCAATCTCGAAACGTGCCCTCATACGCATGATTTGTTCCCAAGGAAGGAGGGCGAAATTATTTATTTCAACAATGGTAGTGGTGTTCCTTTCAATTCCAATTCAGAGTATTGTTAAGAATCGGTGATTTTTGCCAGAGCGGTAAAAACTATGTCTAGACTTTTCCAACTTTTCGTCTTACCCAAAAGAAGTTGACAAAAACTTTAGTAAAGTATACCTCAGCTAGAGTTGATAAAGCAAACAAACTTGATGTTAATAAAGCATACCTCAGCTAGAGTTGATAAAGCTAAAACTGGATGTCAGTAAAGTATACCTCAGCTTGAGTTGGTGGAAAAAAACTTTAGTAAAGGATACCTCAGCTTGAGTTGATAAAACAAACAAACTTGATGTTAGTAAAGGATACGTCAACTTGAGTTGATAAAACAAACAAACTTGATGTTAGTAAAGGATACGTCAGCTTGAGTTGATAAAACAAACAAACTTGATGTTAGTAAAGGATACGTCAGCTTGAGTTGATAAAACAAACAAACTTGATGTCAGTAAAAGATACCTTGAGTTGATAAAGCAAAAACTTGATGTCAGTAAAGTATACCTCAGCTTGAGTTGGTAGAACGCGTATAAAGTGAATGTTAAAAGTCTTTACTATTTGATGATCATTCTTATGTAACAGTTTGCACGTATCAATTAAGAATTAAACGTGTATGAAGTGAATGTTAAAAATCTTTACTATTTGTGTAACAGTTTTCTAATTTTACAGCGACTCGGTGAAAATGTAAACAGAAACCGAAACTGAAAACTTTAGTATGTCAGATTTTATAATATTAATCGATATACAAAACGTTCTAAAATAGAAACTTGATGTTAGTAAAGTATACCTCAACTAGAATTGATAAAGCAAACAAACTTGATGTTAATAAAGCATACCTCAGCTTGAGTTGATAAAGCAAACAAACTTGATGTTAATAAAGCATACCTCAGCCGTGTATAAAGTGAATGTTAAAAGTCTTTACTATTTGATGATCATTCTCATGTAACAGTTTGCACGTATCAATTAAGAATTAAACGTGTATAAAGTGAATGTTAAAAGTCTTTACTATTTGATGATCATTCTCATGTAACAGTTTGCACGTATCAATTAAGAATTAAACGTGTATAAAGTGAATGTTAAAAGTCTTTACTATTTGATGATCATTCTTATGTAACAGTTTGCACGTATCAATTAAGAATTAAACAGAAAAAACAAAAGAAATTGTAGTAAAAACCAAAACCCAAAGTACTGTGTAAAAGCAATACTTTTTAGTGCTTTGTATAAAATATCACTTGCACTGACCTTTCTGAGTAACAAAGTAAAGATATAGAGTAACCTTTTGTTAGGAGTTTCTCATAGAAACTGATGAACAATTGTAAACAAATTATAATAATGTATGAAGCACGCGATCTTAGTTGCTAAGTAACGGCTTTAGAAATGCACAACGGTTTTTCAGTTACCAAAGAAACAACTGAAGAGCAGACCATCTGAGCAGTTGCTAGGTAACGGCTTAAATAGCGTACGAGGATTTGTCAGTTACTACGAGACAGCTTTCACCAATCACTGAATAGTAGTCCATTTGAGTAGTTGTTGGGTGACACTTACGCAATGTCTAAAAGGTAAATACTTGCAATATAAAAGAGAAAGTAATCGCACAGCTTAGTGACAGCTTCAATGACTTAGTAGTAAATAAACAGTAAATAAGGAAAGTGTTTTAATAGGTGATTTCCTTTCAAAAATATATATACAAAATAAATATAATTGCAATTTCCAGTGTATGTCAGTCATCTAAACGATTTAGGCTGAATGATGTGTCCTATTTAAATTTACCTAACAAACTGGTATCGTTATGGATCTATTTGGATAGCTTCAATTCTCTAAAATGCACGTGCATTCTCTTCCGTTAACTAGCACAAGGTTATCTCTTCCCACGTGGCTAAGAAAACATGGAAAATCTGAAAGAAAGAACCTTTTTGAAACTATCTCTGCTGTCTTTTGACATGTTTATAAGGAAAATGCTATCAGTATCACTTTTCACTGTTATTCATTGGTTCTTTGTTTGAAGTTAAGCACTAAAGCACCACAGTGGGTTATCTGTGCTCTGCCCACCACGGGTATCAAAACCCGGATTCTAGCGTTGTAAGTCCTCAGGCATACTGCTGTGCCACTGGGGGGGGGGGGCTCATTGGTTCTAACTGTTCATCTGTAAATAAAACCCTAAGACCAAAACAGTAAACTATCTTCATATATATATACACTCTGTTTGATACTACCAAATTCCACCTTGACAATACACAATCACATAGGGACGATCATTTTAACAGCAAACAGGTGATTCAGAAAGCGTGAAATAAAGCTTGTTACGTGTATTGGCTCGAGCACATCTTCAACCGCACGTTTCGCACGCTGTTGTGTCGAGTTAGGCATCTGTATCAACTTGTCCACTTTCACGACTTCTGCAGTTATAATGACCTAGGTTTTTTTCGTTTGAAACAAATGGTGGTTTGCACGTGTTAAGTAAGAATTAAAAAGTATAGTTCTTCAGGTTAACAAAGCAGGTTATACTTGATATAAAATATACATTTTTAATACTTTGTTTCTACACTATCTATCTGGTGTGTGATAACCTCTTCTTTTACGCTTGTTAAAGCTTATAAAAATTGTTTTTACATATAAAACGAGTATTCATTCAGTATCAAATGTTCAAAGGTATTAAAAACGGTCATCCTTTAGAGAGAAAAAATTATAAGTAAGATGAGTGTCATAAATAACCGGTTCTACAAATATATTTGATATTTTACATATCGATACGTCGTTGGTTTTATTAGTAATTTTCTTAAAACAAACAGTTCAGTTCATATTGTGGTTAAAGGGAGAATTAAATTTAACATTTTTTTGGGGGGGGGATCTGAAGTCTGAGATCAGTAATGCATATGTATAGTTAAATAATGATCTGTTTGTTTAAGTATTGTAAATTATGTGATCTATTTGTTAATTATTTTCATTGATGATTTATATATATTAGAGAAGAGAGGATGCCTACAGAAAAAAATGTCACATTTCTCACACTAGGGGAAATTCAGGATCTTTTTTTAATATTGCCTTATAAAATTAATATACTATTAAAATATGGATTATTAGCTATGATTTCATGCTATTCTAATAGGTATAACGTGAACAAACAAAAAGTAGTTTAATTAAATTTGGAATGTAACTCACTAAAAACCTCATGACATACACAGTGAAGGATGCCCTTGGTGAGAAGGGTAATTACTGCTGAAAAGTCACTAGACATTTACTTCTTCAAAAAGCCAAGAGAATGATAAAGTCTCACAAAAAAAGAAAAAACTAGATTTATTTGAAAAACGATTTGTGGCAACCTTGTTCAGTTACAATATCTTCAAGTCACTTCTTTCTCTGGTTAATCGATTGTTACATTATTTTGTAACAGCTGAGGTGTTTTACTTTATATACCAGGAACTATTTTCTTCATGGAATGCAATGTATGGTACAATTAAATATTAGGGTTTGAAGCTGAATAAATGTGTTATTAGAATAAAAACATACCATTTACTTCTTTTTCATTAGTAGATGTCTTTACAAATAGTTAAGACTTTTAGTGCTGGATTTATTTGCCATAATGTGTTAAAATGATAAATGTTAAAAAGATGCTAAGCAGTATTTGTTACTTGTTAATCAGATTCAATACTGATTAGCAGTTTTTGCTAATCAAATCAACCAAACTATTTTGTCACCTGTATATCATTAATATTTATTTATTGGAGATTTTGCAGTGAAACCCCTGATATAATTAGGATTACAAACGAAGTTACTATATTATATATGCTCTAATATATACAACTAAACCCCTATTTAGGAACATGTTTACTTATTTTAAAATAACCCAATGCCAAATCTAACACCGTGACTTTACAAGGTCTTTTGACAAAATGAAATCTTTGTGTAATATTATATTTGTAAAATTAAAAACTTTCTTCCACCACTGGACTTTGTAAAATTACGTATATCAAACCTCGTATTTTTTTAAACTAGAAACTGAGAATTTAAACGAAAGTGACTAGACTGGTGTTAATTAGCGTCACTAACTATATCATGCTCTGGCCTAATGTATTTATCAACTTAGCTCAATAAAACCCAAAATAGACAACAATTCAAAACTGGAAGGAGGGAAGTGGGGGTGATTTTGTTTGATTTCCGGCAGGTAGGGAGAAAGAGACTTTCTATTTCAATTACCATCCATTTGCAGTAACTCGTGCGATGAAATTTGTAAGGCCTAGTCACGAATGATGGTGAATAATAAAGGAGAATGTTCGAAACACACTTTTATATCCTATACGATAGCTGATTAAAACTCTTTCGGGAAGCTCAAATGTCACGTGAGCCTGAAGTGACTATTTTAATTATCATGGCACTTTATAGGATGTTGGAGCCTCATATAATAAACGTGTTTTATTGCGTTTCATTATGCGTCATGCTTGTCATTGTTTTTTGTTTTGCTTTTTGACCATTAATTTTAAAACACTCAATAAAATAGATGAAGCCCCTAGAGCCTAACCACCCATCCTGCCCACGAAACAAAGCTAGTAAGGATGTATTTAATAAGTTTTGAGGTTCGACCAACCCCCAGATCTCCTCCCCCGCCCATGCAACGGAATTTATAATGTATTTTGATAAGTTTTGGTTGTTCAAACAAATCCCAGATTTCTACTCTCGCTTATGCAGCAGAACTGGTAATGTATTTAATAGATTTTGATGATTCGACGAGAACCTAAGGATCTCCCATTCCAGCCTGTATAACGAGTCTAGTAATGAATTTACTACCATAATAAATTTCAGTGAATGACAGCTAACGAGAATGCTTTTTAGCTACCATGAAAAGCTTTTATCTGAAACAAAACTTACAAAAGGTTGTTTTTACTAGCAATATGTCAGTTGAGAGACCAGTAAGAGTTTTAATATTTTAAAAACGCAAATGTTCCAATGTTACAGGTTTCGAAACCTTTGATGGAAAAACGGCGCCGAGCCAGAATAAACCAAAGTTTGTCTGACCTGAAAGCTTTGTTACTGGAAGCCATTAAATCAGAGGTAAAGCAACTAACTATTCCTAGTTTAAGTATTTGTAACTCTATGTTATGAACCGCTGTAAATGACTTACTTGTGGTTGTTTAGGAAAGAAAGAAAAATAGCTTAGCCAATGCACCCTTCACACATTTATGTTATAAATGATAAAATATGTAATGACTTCGATTTTTTTAAACTACATTTGAAAACGATTTTACTTGGAAGAATGAGATACTTCAATCAGTTCCTCAGATCCAAATCTTCTTAAAAGCTATGCTTAACTCCCAAAATTCATTCAAACTATTTCGATTAGTATAATTGATCCTCGAATTACGCATGCAAATATATCAAGTATCTGGGGAAAAAATCAGCAAAATTTTCAAGTTGCTTAAAATGTGTAACAAGTTATTTGTTCTATATTCTAATTTATATTGCTTGTATAATGTGCTGTTTAGTATTTATTTATCATAAAGAATAACATTTAGGATATCCAAATGTTTTTTATCGTAGAATCCAAGACATTCCAAGCTCGAAAAAGCAGATATTTTGGAGATGACTGTGCGCCATTTAGAGGAACTTCATCGACAACAGAGAACAGGTATTTATTATTTGTTTACGGAATTTCGTGTAAAGTTACTCCAGGGCTTCTCTACCTTTTCCAATATCGTTCACCACTATAAGTTTTTCACAACAGCTCACTCACTCCAGTTCGAAAAAAGGCAAAAAAAGTACAAAATTAAAACGCAAAATTGTTTATTATGACATATACATCAAAATCCAACTTGAATGAATATAACATAAGATAATCACAAATTTTGTGTATTTATAAAACTACAGCTAGAATGAATAATAATAACTAATGACTTTTTTGCCCTTGAATTTGTTGTATAATTGATAATACTCATTCACCCTGATTCTGATCTCATTCTGAACCATTCACCCAGTTGAGAAGCACTGGATTAGGGGAAAGACAGTTTATTAACATCACTCACCGCCAACTCTTGAATTACTCTTTTCCAACAAATAGTAGGATTGAGCGTCACATTTTAACGACTCCACGGTTGAAAGGGTAAGCATGCTCGGTGAGGGATTCGAAACTCGCGACTCGCAAATTCCGAATTGAGCGTCTAACTTCCAGGCCAACAGGTATTTAAAAGCACAGAGGTAAATTATGTGCTTTATAAAGGGATTTAATATACCTATATTACTCACAAATAATTTACACACTGAACATAAATACATAAATTCAAAACATAAGACTTGTTAATTGCAACTGAATAAGTCAATGTAGAAAAGCTATAAAATTCTGGTATGTAATTTTATTTTGCGTGTGTTAGTAATTTTTGATATATATATACGGACCTGTTCAGTTACATGATCTAATTTATCTTATTTTTTATATAGCAACATTGGTCAACGATCCACAGCTGAAGAACAAATTTTTAGTTGGGTTTGAGGAATGCGTCCGCGAGGTGGAGCTGTTTATGAAGAAACAAGATGGTATCTTGGAGGATACGCGACGGTGTCTTCTTCAACATCTAACAAAGCAAATAAAAGACCTTAAATCTACAGAAAACGAAGAATACCAGCCGTCATCCCATCTTCTTCATTCCCACAAACCTGTGATCCAACACTGCAATGCTTCTTGTTGCGAACTTACAGAATCTTGCTGCCACACTAAGAAGATGCCAGATTCTACAGTGACATCCAAAGATCATGATGCCTTACTGTCCTGTAACTCACATAATTATGATAATTGCACTGTTGATATCACGGAGTTTCGCTTAGTTCCAAAACGTCTAGCAAATGGTGATTTGGCTTTAGTGTTGCCCCAAAAGATAGCTAATGGTGTCAGTGGTTTAGATCGTAGTTCGTGTACAGCTAGTGCTTTTCAACTCATCCATCGGGATGCGGAATCGTCATCTTTACCTCAAGAAATATCCTCTACGAATCCTTCACTGACCGATTCTCATTCTCCTGTGTTTGCTGCTACCCACAAACATTTCAACTCAGAGTCTTCTAGTGAAGCATCGGATATGAGCTCTGATGAATCAGTTGGTAGACCACGAGAACCACAGCTATTCCGTCTCTCTCATTCAATGATCCACAGTTTGGAAGATTTTTCGAACAATCAATCTCCATTGTCGGATAATGTTTGGCGACCATGGTAAAACGAAAAATGAAAAGACAGTCGTCAATAATGTATTGTCTTTGCCAGGAAAGAATAATGTATTATTCTATTGTCTTTACCAGGAAAGAATAATGTATTATTGCATTGTCTTTGCCAGGAAAGAATAATGTATTATTCTATTGTCTTTACCAGGAAAGAACAATGTATTATTGTATTGTCTTTACTAGGAAAGAACAATGTATTATTGTATTGTCTTTAACAGGAAAGAACAATATATTATTGTATTGTCTTTGCCAGGAAAGAATAATGTATTATTGCATTGTCTTTGCCAGGAAAGAACAATGTATTATTCTATTGTCTTTACCAGGAAAGAACAATGTATTATTGTATTGTCTTTGCCAGGAAAGAACAGTGTATTATTCTATTGTCTTTACCAGGAAAGAACAATGTGTTGTTGTATTGTCTTTGCCAGGAAAGAACAATGTATTACTGCTAAGAACTTGCAATATCTCTTAATACAAGAGTAGTGCACAATAAAATATATTTTATTTTTAGATATTACTGGGCTTTTTATAGCCTGAGGAAAAATATATTTTGATTCTAATCCAGACCTAAGTTAACATGAATTAAAATGAAACTGCACATTTTAACGTGAACTTGTGCTTATGATAATATGAAAAATATTTATAGGAACAAAGGTATTTTGTATGGCGTTTTGCGACATTTTTTTCTACCTGGAATATCTCTAAAAAGTTATCTGTCTTAGAATCATCAGTGAGGTGAAAGACTTCTCGTTTGGAAATATTTTGACGTACTTTAACAATGTACTTTTTGCTTGCTCATTTTATTAAATAACTTTATCATTTCTTGGTTTTATACACACACACACACAGTAATATATAAAATAGCATACAGGAGATAGTAGCAAACTAAACTACATGAGAATTTTTGCCTTGAGTTGGTAAAATAAACCGTAAAATACTCGCTAGTTTTTCGAGATGAGAAAATAGAGCCACATGTGGTCATCTTGTATTTTAAGCTTGTTTTATGTTTTTTATAAGGTCGACTAAAAGATGTATTTAGTCTTAGCAGTCACAGTTTAAAAGGATAAATAATTCATTCTAGTACTATGAAATCGTATTTACTTGGTGTTACACATGCTTCAGTTGGCAGATTATAAGGTTTATGAACTCAAAGAAATAGTAGCCACTTTGGTGTCAAAATACTGGAAGTACGTCATCGTTCTATTTGTGGAAGATGTATTGAATCTGGTACATTTTGTGAAACCTAACTGTGAACCTGATGTTTTATAAGCATCCCAACACCTATGATACAATACTGAAGGGTACATAGCAGAGTAAGTTAAATGCTTTAGAGGTTGAAAGGGGAGCTGATAGTGAATTGTTAAGTATTACCGTGCTATTGTATCGTTTATGAAATTTTGTAAAATTACACTTTTAACTATTTAAATCTTGAAGAAATATGTTTAATGCACTTTTATTTCTTTAGTTCGTTGAAGGAGGAGGAAGTTCGCTGATAATTAATATCTACATAAAACACTATAATATGGTTCTGTACTATAGATGCAGAGCTCAACGCTATAGTGCTGATACTGTGAATACAGAGCTCTATACCTGAGTGCTGATACTGTAGATACACAGCTCTATACCTGAATGTTGATACTTCAGACGCAGAGCTCTATACCTGAATGTTGATACTTCAGACACAGAGCTCTATACCTGAGTGTTGATACTTTAAACAGAGCTCTATACCTGAGTGTTGATACTGTGGATATACAGCTCTATACCTGAATGTTGATACTTCAGATGCAGAGCTCTATACCTGAGTGTTGATACTTTAGACGCAGAGCTCTATACCTGAATGTTGATACTTCAGACGCAGAGCTCTATACCTTAGTGTTGATACTTCAGACGCAGAGCTCTATACCTGAGTGTTGATACTGTGGATACACATCTCTATACCTGGGTGTTGATACTGTGAATACAAAGCTCTATACCTGAGTGTTGATACCGTGGACACACAACACTATACCTGAATGTTGATACTTCAGACACAGAGCTCAACGCTTGATTGTTGTTCAGTACATCATATAATGTCATTAAAATTGGCAATAACTATTGAAGGTTATTTTATCTTTTTAAAAAATAAAGAAATTAGAAGTAAACAGACTTTAAGATCACTTCATCTGAGAGATGTTTCATTAAATTTAAATTTGGGATTGCTTCATTGATAGACGTACTCTAGAATAGATTGCTGCAAAAAAAATCTGGATTGTTAGTTTTTATTTGACCAAAGTTAAAAGTGGGAATAATTTAAGAAATTTATTAATAATATTGTGAAGGGTAGTTGTTTAAACTTATCAGTTATTTTCATGTATATATTGTATCAAAGAAAGTGAATACACTTATAAATGTTTAAATTAAAAACTTATACGTTTTTGAAAGTAAAATGGATTTTATAAAACTTCATAATTTGTAGTTTCTTTAAGCTTTTCAGAGACTTACGAGCATATATATAATTCTAAATGCAATACCTATTGATTTGCCTATATATTATTTTTTGTCTGTAAACGATTACTTAACACGAACACAAGGTAGAGCCACTTGAATCTTTTACTGTTTTTGGTTTAGCCACAGAAAATAACACATTGGTCACCAAGATAAATTAATTATAAACTCGAAAATAACTATTTTTAGTTATTCTAATCTTAATCGTCAGAATGCATTTAAACCATAAATATAATGTGTTTATTCAATTACCTAAAAATAATTCAGTCTATAATAGAACCTGTGGAAAGTAGAGTAGTACCTACCATTGACTCAGCGGTAAGTATGCGAGATCACGTCGCTAAAATCCGGGTTTTGATACTCGTGGTGGGCACAGCACAGATAGCCCATTGTGTTGCTTTGTGCTTTGCAACAAACAAAACCTTCAGTTCGAAAATACCATTACTGTAGATGAATGAATAGATATGTTTACGTTGTGGGACAGCGGTAAGTCTACGGATTTACAACGCTAAAATCAGGGGGTTCGATTCCCCTAAGTGGACACAGGAGATAGCCCCAAGTGACTTTGCTATAAAACACCCACATACAGATATGTTTAAAGAAAATTACTAACTTATTCATAGTATTCATTCGCACCGACTAGAAACCATTTACTAGATATGTATCAAACAAATGTAAAATATTTTCCCCAAAAATCATATGAGTAAACTGTTTATGTTCCTTATCTTTCCATAACTTTAGCCTTACGAAAGTGTGACTGTAGTGTAAAATAAGCCAAAAACAGAAATTCTGTCAGCCAATAAAAGAATGCTGAGTGAAATACGGACATTGTATGTGACAGAATAAACACAGATGTTTGCTAAAAATCGCTGGAATCTACATATAAAATATTAAACTCAGATTTTCTCAAAATCGCGAGACTACACATATATAAACTAATAAACATAGATGTTGAACGAAAATTGCGAAAGCCTTACACATAAAGGAATAAACACAGGTGATTACTGAAAATCACGGTACTCTACAAGAAAAAGAAAAAAATAGAATCGCAGGACTCTACGTATAAAAGAATAAACACAGTTGTTTGTTGAAAATTGCGGGATTCTACATATAAAGAAATAAACACAGATGTTTGTTGAAAATTGCGGGCCTTTGTATGAAAAAAGAATAAATACAATCTAAAAAAACGTATGGTTTCAAACTTTTGTGGGTGTGGAGTACTGTTATAGAAGCTACACCCAAGAATTGTGAATTTACACCCTTCGCCGGAAAAAGTGATTTCACACCCTCAGTAGAATTATGAAATATTAAATATAATAAAATGTTAAGAAGCCATAGTTCATAGAAGTACTCTTAATTGTAAATGTATAGATTTTGGAAAGTTGCAATCTTCCAAACAATGTGTTTATACAAATTTATAGTAATGGGAAAATTATCTTAATGTAAATGATTTTGTTGGTAATTTTTAAAACGTGTTTCAGGATTGGCAGAGCCTGGTGGTTAGAGCACTCGACTCGCAACTTGAGGGTCGAGGGTTCGAATTCTATTACCGAACGTACTCGTTCTTTCAGCCATAGGGTTGTTGTAATGTTACGGTCACTCCCACTTTTCTATTAGAGTAGCCCAAGAGCCGGTGGTGTTGACGATTTGCCTTTCCTATAGCCTACGACTTCTAAATTAGGGACGGCCAGCGCAGATAGTCCTTGAAATTCAAAAAGATAAACAAATTTTGTTTTCACACACCACTTCTATGATTTTTTATCTGTTTGTAAAATAACTCCTTTATATACGTACCAAGAAAATGAACTTTTTTAATTGTTCTAAATTTACACTTTTAAAGGTGTGAATTTTAATCTTGTCAACAGCTGTTTCAGTACAGTCGTTGGACTTGTATGTAAAAGAACAATACAGCTAATCTATTAACGGAGACGCGTGTTTCCCATAAAAAGATGTGTTTTAGAAAAAAGTGTGTCAGCTGATTATAAAGGGAAATATATTTGCATTCTTATCAGCACTGATTGTAACTTACATAAAAGTAGAGCTATAAAACTGAAAATAAGACGTAAATGAACAGAAGTTGTTGTCTCGCAGCAAAATATGATCAAGACTTACTTCAAACCTAATTACGGACAGATTTTATTTTTTGGTTTGGTTTGTTTGGAATTTCACGCAAAGCTACACGAGGGCGCTAGCCGTCTCTAATTTAGTAGTGAAAGGCAGCTAGTCATCACCGCCAACTCTTGGGTTACACTTTTACCAACGAATATAGAGATTGACCGTCACATTATAAACTTCCACGGCTGAAAGGGTGAGCATGTTTGGTTGGGCGAAGATTCGAACACTCGACCCGCAGATTGCGAGTTGAGTGCCCTAACTGCACGTACAAAATAAGTAATATCCTACTATCGCGTATATAATGAAAATTAAATCAACTGCTAGTTGAAATATTCAAACACTGTCGCGATTTTACAACTTGTTTGTTTTATTACTTTATGCCAGTTATAATGCAAATCTTTTTTTCTGATTAATAAACCGTTCTTTCTTCAGTAACACTGTTAGCTTTGGCTAAAGATGGTCAGTGCTGAACTTATAAATATATATATATTCTTGCTTTATTGCTCCCTCGTGGCACAGCGGTAAGTCTGTGGATTTATACGCTAAATACTGGGTTTCATTACTCATGGCAGGCACAGCACAGATAGCACATTGTGTAGCTTTGTGCTTAAT